GCACCACAGGAGACCCCTGGCCAGTGCCCGAGGGGGGTTCAGTGCCGAGTGCGTCCGGGGCCCGTCCCAGCAGCACAGCGTTCCCTGGGGAGCAGCGAGCTGCGGCCCTGTCCCCGTCCCTTCTTTACCCAGACTTGTAGCCCACGAGCTGCATGAGGCCCTTGGTGCTCATGGATTTGGGTCTCTCCAGGGGGAAGCCCAGCGCCCGCAGGGAGCTGTGGCCCTGTCCCCGTCCCTTCTTTACCCAGACTTGTAGCCCACGAGCTGCATGAGGCCCTTGGTGCTCATGGATTTGGGTCTCTCCAGGGGGAAGCCCAGCGCCCGGCTCCAGATGAGCTGCGAGAGGACGCCCAGGGCCCGGGAGACCCCGAAGAGCACCGTGTAGTAGTTCATCTCCTTCATCCCATAGTACTGCGGGGGCAGAGGGGGCATTAAGGCAGGGCAGCCCCGCCGGAGGGGGCAGCCAGGAGCCCTCCACCCCCCCAGGATGCGGCGCTGGGGCAGGGGCAGGACCCCCCCATCCCCTGAGGGCTCACCTGCAGCAGCACCCCGCTGTGGGCATCCACGTTGGGCCAGGGGTTCTTGGCCTTACCCTGCTCCAGCAGCACGTTGGGGACGATCTTGTAGAGCTGGGCCACCAGCCTGAACAAGGGGTCCTTGGGCAGGTGCTTGAGGGCAAACTCCCGCTGGCAGCTGTAGCGGGGGTCCGTCTTCCGCAGCACCGCATGCCCGTACCCCGGCACCACCTGCAAGGACAGGGGGGGTCAGAGCCCGGCCCCGGCGTGGCCATGGCCCTGGCCCCTCGGCACGGATACGGTCGGACTCACCCTGCCCGAGTTGAGAGTGTTCCAGATGAAATCCCGCAGCTTCTCATCCGACACCTCCTGGCCCAGCTCCTTCTGCAGGTTGGTCAGCCAGAGCAGCACCTCCTGCGGGCACGGCACACAGAGGGGGTGAGGGCAGCAGTGGAGGGGCAAGAGAGGGGGCAAGAGAGGGGGCAAGAGAGGGGGCAAGAGAGGGGGCAAGAGAGGGGGCAAGAGAGGGGGCAAGAGAGGGGGCCGCGGGGGTGGCCACCTGGGTCGCAA